GTCGGAGTTTTTTGAAAAGTTGTCGTCCCAGAGAATCTGGTGGGTGGCGAAGATGTGGTTGTTGGTGTTTGGGGACCAAACCATGCGCCTTCTTGACCAGCTCCTTCGTGACATACGGGTAGTTCAGCTTGGGCTGCCATCTCTGAATCAGGCTGTGTTCTTCGGCCCAGGCGTCAATGTACTCCGAGTGTTGCGAAAGAAGAATGGTGCTGTAGTGCTGGTAGGTCTGGGAGTCGTTCCAATATCGAATGGCAATCTCGGTTTTGGGGAGTTTGAGTTGTTGTAGTTGCCGAAGTTTTGCGACTCTGTTGTATTCTCTCTTGGCCACAGTGATGTTGGTGGATCCGATGTAACAAAAGGATGCATCTCGGGTGGCAGTCGCATAGGTTTGCTTGTTGAGCCTTGGAAATAAAAGCTTGACGTACACTGCACAGGACTGGGAGAATTTCTCGAACGTGTAGAGCTCTGGAACCGCGCCTTTTTCTCGAAGTCGCTCTTTTAGTTGCTCTGCTGCAGGCGATTGCCGCATTCTATGGAAGGTGAATACTAGATGAATAAGTCCAACTAACCACATCAAAACTTCTTTATTAATAGCAGGAACGTGAAAAAGCAAAAACTGCCCCCAATCCACTATCTGCTGTAGCTGCTGGAAGATATTGGCACTTTCTTGATGTGCTATGGGTCTTCTCAGGATTTTCTGCACGTGTCACACGGCGAGGTAGGTGACGGCTGCGATCAGCTGCTGAAGGTTCTTGGGTGAAGCCTTTGGCGCTGTAGTGAGGGACATGGGGAGCCCCCATCGTGTCGCCATCTCTTGTAGCTCTGCCTTGGTGTACTTAGCGCCCTCGAGGATGGTCTGCACGGACTGAATGTGACTGTCCACTTCCGCGTGCTTTTCTCGGGGGAGGCTCTTCTTGAGATTGGTGACCCAAGTTGCAATCGAGGTCATACTTGTCGGTGGCTCTTGTCCACTGGCACGGATTACGTTGTGGGGCTCGGCGAGGATGTCCTCGTTGCGCTGCTTGATAGCTCCCTTTGTAAGGCGTCTGCGCTTTGGTGGTGCCGCTGTTGTTTCTGGGCCATCTGCGGTAGGGACTTCTGGGGGGTGACCTCGATGCCAGCGCTGCGTAGGCGTTGCTTGTACTTTGCGGTCTGCTCCTCCAGGGCCTGCATGCGCTGAGCTGCTTGGTTGTCGCCGTCGGTGTTCTTGGCGGCATAGTTGCGTACCTGTGCCCAGGGCTTGATGGCGTCTAGGATGGTGTCAACGAGGGGTGTGATTATAATGGCCTCTTTCACCTTGTCAGGGGCTTTTTGTCCTTTGCTTTTGTAGAGGGCGTCGACGGTGGCATCAACGTCGATGTTGTTCTCGCGGAGCTTCTTTTGAAGCTGGGGAAAGGAAGACAATACGAGGTTCGTATCATAATGGTCCGCGTCCTCTGAAAACTGACTAGGAAGTGGTGCCCGCGCCGTGGTTGCCGGTGTCGCCGATGTGCCTGCTGCATTCGTTGGTTCCGGCGGTGTGTTGCACGGTGGCGGTGGTGGCGGCAAAGGTTGAGTAGATGGACTTGCGGCGGGTGGGGGCATAGGTGGCCACGTCGGTAAGGATGCTGGCGTTGACAAGGATGCTGGCGTCGGTGTGGATGTAGGCGTCGGCGTGGACGCTGGAGTCGGCATTGATGCTTGAGACCACCATATTGGGTCGCCTTGGCTTGATGCGCTCCCACTGCCTGATGCCCACCACGTCGTATCCCTTGCTCCCTGGGGCCAATATCCAGTCCATGTGTTCGCCATTGCTTGTGAAATTTTCTAACTGCTGAGGGCACCGTTTGGACACTAAAGGCTATCAAAAAAGCTTTAAGGCAATACAACAAAGTAAAAGTAAAGCTTGCAGTGGCACAACAGGCACATGCATCTTTTGCTGCGAAGAATGCGTTTCGCGGCGTCGCAGTTGTTGCCGGCTGTAAGCCAGTGGAAGATTTGCAGCACGTTGCCGAAGGAGATGTCCGGGAAGAGCTTTTATGGTGCTGCAGTGGGTGCGCTGCTAGATGAGTGCAAGTCGGGCTCGTCCTTGCGGAGCTATGCCTGCAGCTTTCTGGTACTGGGAGATGAGGGTGTTCGCTGTGGAAGGCGGGGTCATCAGCTGCTCAAACGCAATGCATGTAAAGCAATATCTGTTGCGAGATACGCAATAAGCTTTTGCATTCGCATCCTTGAGCACCTCATCCTCTTCAGTGGCTGCACGAGCTGTTTCGTAGGATCCACCAAGGTGTTTGCGGAGAGATCCCCATGCACGGCCGCCCATGACGATGCCTGCCAAGTTCTTGGCGCTGCGGGTGGTGTTGAAGATCACCCGGGTCAGGTTGTGTTCGTCGATGTCGGATCCGGACATCTCGTGGCCGAGCGCATAGAATATGTTGCAGCCGAATGCTGCCACTCCATGCGCGTTCATCGGACGCATGTTTCGCTCTTTCAACATGTTGAATAAAGCTCCCACATCTGTTGCATGCGACCAAAACAGGATCTTTTCTTGCCGAGTCGGTAGAGGAGGATCTTGCAGAGTAAGATCCGAAGACTGCAAGAAATAGAATCTCCTCATTGTCTCTGGAGTTGGGTCTCCTCCTCTGTCCCACGTTAGGTCATGCTCCAAGAGAACCCCATTGTTGATCCTGAACTCCGCTGCAGCGCAAAGTGCATCCACATACTGCTTAGTAGAGTCATGTATGGGGAACTGCGGAATCTCAATGTCTCTCCAGTTGACTCTGAATTGTTTGAGGTTCTTGTGGAATGTAATCGTTGAAGGCATCCGCGGAGTCTCGTACAGCTTGGGGTCAATCTTGGGTCGTTGTGAATGCGTATTTGGTGCTGTCGAAGTGCCTGTGCTGCTGAAGCCCGATGCCCTGGAGCGCTGCATTGTCCTAGGGGAGCGAGATCTGGATGTTGTCGTGGGAGCGTGAGATCTGGATCTTGTCTTGGGAGTGTGCGATCTGGATCTTAATACCGCCCGCGGTCTGGTGGTTCTTGAATCGCTGGGGCTCCTTCGTGAGGAATTGCGTCTCGGAGATCTGGAATCAATATGTCCCTTTCGCACCAACAGGGGTCTGGCGGGTCTTGCACTTGATGTTGCTGATAGTGGTGCTGGTGGTAGTGCAGGCAATCCCGACGAGGATGTGGGTCTCGGCGTAGGCGGAGCTTCTCCTGCTCCAAGTTGGTCACTTCTTTGGAAGTAGGGCCGAGGGGACATCGTGCGTCCCTCGTGCTTGCGGAATGCAGAGAATGGCTGAGCTTTCCGCTTTGCCTTTGCACCAGATCCAACTGCACTCTGCTCGGTGTCCTCAGCTGTGGAGTCTTGCGTTGCTCCCTGTGGGTTCGCTGCCTGCAATGCCTGGAGCTCTTCTTGACTGAACAATAAGCTCGGGGATCTCCTTGTTGCAGCCGTCGTGGCACGGGCTTCTTTGCGAATTCTTTTCAATGGCGGTCTCCCTTGGTCTGAGGTGTAAGCTGCAGTTGGAGATGCCGCTGTCGTTGAGGATGCAGCTCCTCCGCTCAGTGCTGCAAACGCCTGCAGCAGGTCTTCTGGCTGCGCATTCTTGATTTGTATGTTGATCTCCATGGCTGTATCGCAGGGCTGCTACGTGCGTCTTTACACCAAGTACCACTAAAAGACACCCCAAGAAGACCAAAAGAAAAGAGTGATGAATGCCCAGGGTCTTGCACTAGCAGCTTTACGTTGCGTTACATTGCATTAGCACATGCATGAGACTTCAAGCGGATTTCAAAACAAAGGGAGTTCAATCGGACTGCGCTGGTCCTCTTGATCAGCATGTGCTTTCCGGATTCAAGACAATTGCTTCCCAGTCTGTTGATGTTTGGGGTCTCTTATGAACCTAGCCAAGGATCACTCGTCCCACTCGGGGCACTGTTTCAAGGGATACTGCCTCGAGAGCAGCGGTAATGGCGCCGTGACGGATAAGGCCATGCCCAATTCACACTCGAACACCCAGGCTTCGCTGGTAGCATGTTCATTCGTGGTCAATTCTCACTCGTCAATGAGTTCAATGACTCCGATGAGAAACTTCAAAGGAAAATGTTGTCGGTGGGGCTTCAAGAGTCTCTGGTTGCCTTGCTGCGATTTAATACCGAAAAAGCCAAGATGCACCTGCAACCTTCCACCTGGGTCTCGTTCATAGTCGCTGCAAACAGATTAGAGAAGATCAATATGATGGCACCATGCACAGCGTATACTGTCATACGTCACAAGCCATGAGCAGGTACAGGTTCGTGCGTCCACGAACCCATCACGAGAAGCAAGAGCGGTCTTCGTTGGTGCCAGCACTCTTGTTCTCCTGGCACCCCCTGCACGATCACTTCTCTTATTCTCAACATCGCTATTCTCAACGTCACTGTCCCGTGGTAGTTTGGGTTCCCCACACACACACACACACACCCACGCACGCACGCACGCACGCACGCACGCACGCAGCAGAACCTCCATCGCGAGCTGGCGATGCCTCACGGCTCAGAACAACTCTCAGCAGGATTTAACATCATGGTTTCATAGAGTGTTCTACAGTAGCTCAGTATGTAGCACTGCGGCGCCCTGTCCGCGCACTCATGAGATCCCATGAGCTCTGCAAGTTCTTGTGTCTGCAGCCATGGCCAGGCTTGGAGAGCCACGGGCGAGCTGCCCTGCTCGCTGGTTGCAGACAGAGTCAAACAAAGCAAGTTTACAGGCTTGTCGTGCTCCTGGGTTGCAGTGTGGAGCCGTCCGCACAGAAAGGGAGGACGCCCTGTAGATACTGAAATTCTGTGGGAGCTGGGATTTCGAAACATGTTCGCGAAAATCGAGGCTTTGCGAAACAAATGGAATGAGCCCCTGAGCGATGGCAATTCGTTGCCTAGTGTATTGAAGCATGCAAGCTTCGAACTTCTGGAGGATTCTATTGACGTGCCGCTGTGAAGTTACGCCTCGAGCCCTGGTCGAAGCAGTGCGGCTGCTGTTGCTATGAAAACCATCTAAAGGATTCAGGATTCTTTCGACAACTTTCCAACAGCAAGTGATCGTGGATGCAAAAAGAGGCAGAGCTCTTCTTTGATTCAGACTCCACGTCGTGCCCACCGCTCTCCGTGGCAGAGTTCATGTCAAGTATCACCTCTTGCCTTGGCAGTGCTCGGCCATACTGAGAGTCTCGGTCACCCTGCCTTTTTGTAAGGCTGCTGCCCTCGTTCGGCGAGGCTCCCAACCAAGCCGAAGGCGGCATGACCGAGCGACTCGTGGTGGGTGCTGTGGGTGCGGCGCCGGCCCAGCCACTGGGCGGCACCTATGGTCACAGAGGTCGCGGTGGTGCAGAATTTGTTCTAAGGCCCACACCGTCGGGGACCGAACCTGCAGCGAAGCGAACACAAAGGGAAGGAAGGCTGACAAAACAGAATCTCCGGCATGATTTGCCTAATGGCCATTCGTCGTTGCACCCTCAACAAACCTGGAGCAGAACGATAGATACTCGCCTGTTCAGTTCTCTGTCCTGCCACACGAACTCACGACTGGATGTTGTGGCACAATGTAAGCAATGCTGTTGGAACGGCTGGAAAGATGTGGTGCGGCTCCTGCAGGTTCTCCTGGTTCCGCCGTCGTGCTGTTAATTACCTCATCAGGCTTCGAACCTGTGAACCAGAGCTCAACTTCGGTGCGATGGCTGCCTCTCTTCGCCTTCTCTTGCGCCCTGCACAACAGTTCGAACGAGACGGTTGCATGGGCTGGTCGAAGCGCTGTGCCTCCTGTGAGGCTGTTGTGGTCTCGCTCCTTCAACTCACAGCCGCAGCTCGGCCTACCGAGACCATACACCGCCGCCAGCCTTCCGGGAACGCCTATGCCGCCTCGCGCTCTCCTCGGACGCCAAGCCAAGGAAAGGTGACATTGCGGGACACGAGATCAGATCTCCGGGGCCCAAGCGCTGGAGGATGACAAGGACGGCCTCGGGATTTCACAAAAGCTGCAATCCGTCATTGCGAGGAACTGGTTCATGGAGTTGGGGATGCTTGGAGCTTGTGAGGTGCTCATCTCTTCTCTTCCTGTCTCCGATCTACTAGACCCCCCAATTGAAAACCACATCTCGGAATATCTGACATCATCCCGGTCTTTCAAAACCTAAATTGCATGAAGGCATTAAGGGGTTCAGGAGCAAGAACAGCAAAAACAGCAAGAGCAGGAGCAAAAGCCACCCGAAGGAGCAAGAGCCAGAGCAAGATTCCGCAAAACAGGAAAAATTGATAAACAATGGTACAGTCACATTCCGCATGTGCTTAGGCCCCCTCCGTTTAATGTTTCGGGGAAGCGATTACTTACGTTCTGGACTAGGTTGCCAACGCCAGATCCTTTCTGTTTCGTCACCACCAGTAGAAGCCTCGCCCCTTCTGCTTTCTTCTGCATGTATGTCTACATATTGCATGTAATTAAATACTATATATATATGTGTGTGTGTGCATGTATGTGTATGTATATGTGTGTCATTGTGTGTCTGTGTATGTATCTGCGTGCAAGGGCGTGCATGATCGTGCATGCACGCGTGCATCCGTGCGTGCGTCCGCGCATGCGTGCATGCGTGCGTGTATGTCGGACTCTCGGCCAGCAGGGAGTAACCAGAATACATCTGAGTACCCCTGAGAATATCTTTGTCTCATCATGAAGCATGCCCCAAAAATCCGAAGGCCCACTGAAAGAGCCCCAATCGTGAAACCATTTCCTCTGGATGCAGCCGTTAGCTCAGTGGTTGATTGTCCTGAAGGACACGGCAATTAATTATGCAAATGCTGAATGTCAGGAGCTCCAAAAGCCACACTTGAGGCTGGAGCTAAGCGGGTAGACCTATCATCATCCAATCAATTACCTTTCTATCTATCTGTCTATCTATATATATATATAAGTATATATATATATGCAAGCAAATCGATCTTGATACCAACTTCTTGTCTGTTTGAGCCATGGTCCAATAGAAACGAAAAATGGTTCCGCACTTGCCACTTGATCGTACTTGCAATTTTCAAATTGGCATGTGGCAATCGAAAACTGCGCTTGATTCTTGTATCCGCCCACTGCTTCTGCCCATCCCCTGTGCTTCATGTGCTTCCATGTCTTCCACTTCTTCTGCGTGCTCTGTCATGAAACGCAAAACGAAGGATGCACAACTTTGCGGGCTGGACACTTCATACGAGTGCACATCCATAAACTTCCCGCCTGGCAAGGCCACAATTGGGCCACAATCTGAGCTTTGATCTCAACTTGTGACTTGAATGCACAACGTCTGTGGCAATGTTCGGGTTGCATTTTCCAGACTAGGTCCTTGCAAATTGTTGCAACTCACCACATTGAGATGGCCCACATCTCCAACCTGGAGCCAATCACAGTCCTTGAAGCACTCCTGCCAGTCGACTTCCTTGTGGTCCCGGGCCGATAAAACAAGAAATGCCCGACGTTCCGACTGTTCATCTTCTCAATACCTTCGAAATAGCTCATGTGTATGCAGTGTCACTCTTGCAACGGTTGTGTGTGTGTGTGTTTGCGAAGATCTGTTCCAGAGAAGTTCCGTCTGATGTCGCGGTGAACATGTGCAGGAGCATGTCAATGTGGCACTCGCTCCTTACAAAATGCGACGTGCGTGCAAAGCGAGAATTCACAGCGCTCTTGAGTGGCAAAGAGTCTTCGTGGGTCCATTGGTGCTGCCACATCACTCGCGCTGACTCGCATTGGGCAGCAGCACAGATGAGGGCGCAAGCACCAACGGGACAGATTCAACCCAAGACAAGCCCGAGGGTGTCGCTCTGTTGCTGCCGCCTGGAAACTTCCCGGGGGAGGCCTGAGAAAAGACATGAGTGCTGCACATCTCTTCTGCGCTCGCTGAGGCACCCAGCCACCATGCATGGTGTGGATGGCTCGAGAAAGGGGTTGCAAACGCCCTGCTGCCCCCCATGACCCAGGATGGGGAAGCTGGCAGAACGGGAGGCCCTGCGATTTGGTGCACTGCAGGGACTGCAGCGTGTGCGAATGGATAAGGAGCCAGGCTGCCTGGGTGGTTGTGGGCTGCGGGGCCATTCTGGCCGCCGGGATGACTTGAGGTGTTAGGACAAATAGGCGCTGGAGCTGGTGCTGGCACAGATTCCAGGGGTGTCGCCCCTGTCTCCACCTGCACTATGACACGAAGTCCGTGACACAAGCTCGCATGACCGCAGACCGGTCTTTGGCCTCTTGGCTGTCATCGATATAACCTCGCGGGGTCACTGCACCGCACCGAGTGCAGGGACTTCTCAAGGCGATGCGCTTGCAACCGCCGCACGCGCCTGATGGCTCCGCCGTGAAGACTCGGTGGTCGACCTCATTGCCCAGACTTCACTTCTCAGACTGCTCTGCACCGAGGCCTCCGTGGGCTATACAGCTACTCAGGCTGCTGTCAGCCTCTTGGCCCAGCAGCCAAAAGTAAACACGAGCACTCGCAAACGAGGAGCAGATGTTCGAAACTGGCACACAAGGACCTTTCGTCGGCCACATTGCAGGAAGGATTTGCACAGTCCTTTTTGAAGAATGCAAGTGCAGCATTGAAAAGCACCAGAATTACTTATTTTTTTCTATTGTGGGTTCCCGTTTGTAGAGCTGGCTGCTCTGTTTTCAAAGGTTGGAGGCATTCTTTGATGTTTTGACACTTGGCATGTTGGCGTACGGCGTCAGTGCTGGCAGTGCCCCGGCCAAAAGCCTGTGAGGCTGTAGCGGCAACGATCTCGACATGGGTGGTGTTAAACATGGCTAGGCTTGGCTTTAACAGGGCTTGCGCACAGGGTGAAACAAGCTGGTTAGCGAAGATGTTTGAGTTTTAACAATTCATGGCTGGATACCTGCTAAGTTCAGGCGGCCTTCAACATCTGCTCCATGCCCATGGGCTACCCAGTGAGCTTTGGCCCCGTGTGCTTTTGAGGTGAGGTCGCAGCGAGCTCACAAACCTGCCGCCCGACAGCATGCGGCAGCTCCTGAGGCACCCAAGGATAACAAGTGCGAAGGAGCAAGTGACGGGGAAAGCAAAGTGGAAGGAAAGGCAAGGTCAGAAACCGAGAAGAGAGGCATTTCTTCTTCGCACTCGCCCCTCGCCTGGCCATCTCTGGAGACTTTGACCTGAGATGGAGACCCCAAACTTAAAGAGATCGGCACACGACTTCGTATCCAAGGCGTGACGATGCATTTTCATCTCGAGCGAGCAAGCTGGCGAGAGTTCTCAAATTGGAGCCCTGCAGAGCGGTTCTCGTTCCAAGGGTTGACGATATCCGAGACCTTCCCAGACCATTGGACCACCCCAAAGTCCTAGAGACCTGACATCTTCACAGCGCCGTGACCAACACCCAATCAAGGTTTGGCCTCGGAGAAATCCAAGTCGTCCAAGCGTAGCCATCGCACCTGACATGCTCACAATGCGGCACGGCTTGCTGAACATCGGTACGTGATGACAAAAAAATTGCTTGGAGGTGGCTACGAAAGCCAGAGGGATCAAGTCTTGTCGTACCACGACCGGAAACTCATCGCAAACAACAGGAAACGCCGTCAAAACCAACTGTCCACAAACCTCCCCAGCCAAGTTTCACCTCTTTGTCTCCTCTCCCAAACCACACGCGGATTGGGGCGGGAGTCGGCACAAGCCATCAACCATCGATGTACTCTGCGCTTTTTATGCTGCGGATTTTTCCCTCGTGTGAGAGGTTTCCTCCCTCATGTGACCGGTTTTGCCGCATGCTGGCTCCAATGGAGACTCGCAGGATCGACAGGGTTTGCGAGATTTTGACATCAGCCGGCTCCTTGGAGGGTTCGCAGCTACAGCACTCGTACTCTTTGTTTACCATGGTTCAACAGAACCTGGGCTGTCACCCTTTCTTACATCGGGACTTGTGCAATCGCCTGAATGTTCGAACAACACGGAAGCTCAGCTCTCATGACTGATCTCCCATGCCCTGCTCAAAAACCGCACAAAACACAAATCCAGGAAATCCGTGAAGCACGTGAATTACCGAACATGGATTTGGTGTCGCACCAACAATGGAACTGTAAACCATTTAATTTGCGGATGCATCATCGTGCAATCGTTTGAGGGGAGAGAAGAGGGGCCCCCAAACGTGGGTTTACGGATCCATCATTTTCGGGGGCTGCGTGGGAGACAAAACGTTCCATAACTAGTGCTTGACAACCGGAATGCATCGCGCAATCCAGTGCTTCGTGACGGCAAACCGAAACCATGTTGGGATTGGCCCAAACTGAGTTTCCGATGGAATCAACCATAGCAAACTTCGCTCAGAGGCCGCTACCTTGCAAGCTGTTGCCAACTGACATTTGTCTCTGGAGCCACGCTGCCTGCGAAGCCTGGTCACACGTATGCGGTTTAGAGCGAGAAGGTTTACGTTTCGGTTTCAGAGAGTTTACTGTTTTTTGGTTTAAACGTCCCTTTTCCGTCTTGCGAGATGCGGTTTTCCGCTGGGCGTCAAATGGCAGCCTTTAGCATCCCCAAAAATACAGTAACAAGCACAGCGAACCATGCTTGTCTTCCACGAGCAAGAGTCACGATCTGCCATCACCATTGGGTTTCATACCTTCTTTGTCGGCGTCGCCTTCGTAACCGTTTTCTTCAGCCCCTTCATCTTGAAAGGTGTCCTTCACCTTTCCGACATCGAACAGGACATGGAAATCTGGATCACCTCGTCCCACCATCGACTCATCCACATGCCCATTGACGGGAGAAGTATCTCATGTGAGCTCATCGCCCTGGACCCATGAAGATCGCCGCTAAATTTTTTGACAACCATTCTTCGGAAATTCTTCGGCGTTTCCGCCATGGCCTTCCTGCATGGCATGCTGTATGGCCCAGTCATCCCAGTCTTGTACGGCCCACGCTTGCTTGAGAAACTCGGCAGTTTCCTCATCCTTGTCTCGCCAGCGCTGTAGCATCCTCTGCTCGTCCGCTTGCCAGTCCTTGAGTTCCTGTGCCTCGTGCCATGCTCGGCTCTTCCTCTGGCTTGGGTTCTTCCATCGGGTCCAGGAGAACTATGACAATTATGACGGTCCTCACGGTGGAGGCATGCGGAGCAGGGAGCAACGGACGAAGAGCATGCCACTTGGTCCACGAAGGCCACATCGTCGTTTTCTGTGACAGCGTTGTTTCCGCCATCAGCAACCGCATGCGAGGCAAGCATCGCCTCTGCTCCCTCCAGAACTGTGGGAAGGCACACTTTGGACCCCTCACGGGGTGTAACAGCGACGAAGCCGAGAAAGAAGGGTGAAGGCACGTCGCATGCGTGGCTCCAGACTGATCGAGAGCCTCGTGTTCCACGCCTTCTTGTCTGCGGAATGAATGGGGTTGCCTTTGCCGTCGTTATCACCGGAACTGTCAGCATCCTCGGAGTTGACTGACTGGGGGGCACGGCAAGCCCCTCCACGTGCGCCTTCGTCAACACACGGTAGGAGGTGTTGTCTGGGCGGATGCCATCGACGGCGTTGAAGATTCCCATCCACACGGGCTCGGTGTTTGGATCCCTCGTCCAGCATGCCCTCTTCAATCCAAGCCACAAAGGGTTCTGCACAATTCTGCACAGTTCTTGTAGAAGACCACGTCACGGTCCTCGATGAGCCGTCGGAACATGCCAATCAGGCCTCTCTCCCCGCATTCTTTAGCAGGTCCAGCCTGAGAGAAGCGCCTTCCAACCAGTTGTGAACTTCCTCCGGGAGCTCGTCGTTTAGGATTTAAGGAGGGGGTCCGGCAAGTTATGCGAGCGTCGCCAGCTGACATTTGTCTGGGGTGCGGGGAGTAACAGGAACCAGTTTGGGTGGTAATGGAAAACAGTCCCGGAGACAGCAACGGAAACCGACCCGCGTAGAAACAGGAACTGCAACACGAGCGTAACAGAAGCTACGGCCGGAAAGCAAGGACCCGAAATCACGTTGCAGGTCTTGTCTGGGGAACCTATTTTCGGTCCGCTAGTTTATAAGGCCATGAAAGCCTTATGCTCACACATTTTTATTCAGGGCATCTAGAGTTTAGGGTTGAATAACATCCAGGCTTTGGGATATAGCACGTAAATAGCGCAATAGAAGCCCACCATGTAACCGCGCGATATTTGAGCAATCTGCAAGTCGATTCCGGTCCTCGATGAGCCGTCGGAACATGCGAATCAGGCCTCTCTCCCCGCATTCTTTAGCAGGTCCAGCCTGAGAGAAGCGCCTTCCAACCACTTGTGAACTTCCTCCGGGAGCTCGTCGTTTAGGATTTAAGGAGGGGGTCCGGCAAGTTATGCGAGCGTCGCCAGCTGACATTTGTCTGGGGTGCGGGGAGTAACAGGAACCAGTTTGGGTGGTAATGGAAAACAGTCCCGGAGACAGCAACGGAAACCGACCCGCGTAGAAACAGGAACTGCAACACGAGTGTAACAGAAACTACGGCCGGAAAGCAAGGAACCGAAATCACGTTGCAGGTCTTGTCTGGGGAACCTATTTTCGGTCCGCTAGTTTATAAGGCCATGGAAGCCTTATGCTCACACATTTTTATTCAGGGCATCTAGAGTTTAGGGTTGAATAACATCCAGGCTTTGGGATATAGCACGTAAATAGCGCAATAGAAGCCCACCATGTAACCGCGCGATATTTGAGCAATCTGCAAGTCGCTTCCGCATGTTCAGTGCTGATAAGAAGTCATAACGTTTTCTCTTGCCGTCACGTAACCGCGCCTGACACAGAACATGGTTTACACACACTGTGTCTGAAAGTTGGCATTTCTAGTACTAAAGTTGTACTACAACCAAGCACAACCCAGCCGGGACCCTAGGTCTGAAGTCCTGGGAGTGCCGGTACCGGAAAACGGTCCCTGAGTTTTGACGACAAAACGACATTCGGGACGTGAAAGCAAGTCCCGCTGCCTGACCCCTGGTGCCTGTTACGACGCCTGTTCCCGAGGCTGTTACGGGAACCGGGGGTTTCTGCGACGGAGTGAGCATCCGCTCCTGTTCAAGGTTCCTGTTACGGACAGCCTGTTCCCGTTACGGCAATTGCTCCATTTGTCTGCCATGCTGCTTTATGGGGCTTGTTAGATTGAAGCTTAGGGCTGAAAGGGTTTCGGGTGTAGGCAGGGTGTAGGGTTTAAGGACTCCGGCAAGCATCCGGTGTTTGCATGTTCTCCAGGACCCAAGCGACGATCTCGTACTCTGGATGAGGACGACACCTTCAGCTACACTTCTCACCACGTTGCAGGGGTTCTCGTGCCTTGCTCATGTGTTTAGGCATGCCATGCCCTTCTTAGGAAGTTCGGTCAGGGCAACAGAACCTTGCCGGACTTTTTTGTATTTTCCAGGTTGCACATCGTCCGAAATCTTGCATACAGTGCACGTGCCACTTGCACACCAGATTTGATAACTTGCGCGCCTCTTGGCGATTCGGCTATGGATCAAGTGTAGTATCTGCATTTATCAGTGTGACAACTGATAGGTCTCCATCTGGAGACGTGCTTGTCAAATCCGATTTTGCTCGGGAGCTGTCTTCATGAGCTCGCTCAAAAGCCTTCACTTGTTGCGCTCGCATAGGACCAAGCATGACCAAGCCAGTGGCAGCACACACTACTTGGGCCTCTATTCTTGTTCCCGTGCAAGGATTGAGGCGGGCTGCTGCCGATTTTCTTGATGTCGCCTTGGTCGAACACGAACAATTGAGTCTAAACAAAACAAGATTCCCCGAAGGATCCAGCCTCGGGCATCCTTGCGGAGAGGGCAATAGCGCTATCAGTGACGCTTGATGGAGGCGCGCTGTTTAATTCCCGTCAGTTCGATCGCCAACGTTGGCTTCAGCAAGATTGAGCACTTACTAGTGACTACGTGCAGCCAGCGTGTAGCCTTCTGCAACGAGGTTGCTGCTGTTCCTCCATGCGAAACGCAGTGAGGCGGATTGCGTTGCTCCCCCATGCACGTTGCACCGAGCTCCTTGCTGATCAAGAAGCCGGTGTTCTGGAGTTCCATTAGAAGTAGTCGCAAGACACGAGAGGTTCGACGCCTACTGTAGTGCGAACGACGTCATGACAAAGTCCGAGTAGCAAGAGCAGCCTGAAACACAAAGGCGAGCGAGTACCAAGACTACTACGCAAAATCATCCTAGCGCCGGGTAGTTCGACCCCCTGCGCGGGTTCTTGGCAGCACAATCACTCCGAGCTCAAAGCCTGTGCATGTCCACACCCCACTCAAGGTCGGCTGATTGCCCACTTCACTCGGGATGGGAGCAAAAGTAGAAACCAGTGATACTCACCTACGCACTTTACACATTCCTTGGAATTCCTAATCACGAAGCTGCTTCAACGTTCGCCAACCACCATCCTTCTCTTGAACCCCTGCGCGGGTTCGCGCATTGGGGAATTATGGTGCAAACTGCGTAAAACATGCCGTGCCTTGGCTCCGGGGCAGGCGGACTGAGGTGTGGGTGCGTGGGCAGTGTGTGGGTGGGTGGTGGTGTGATGGACAAAGGAAAAGCAGAGGTGGATGAGGAAAAGCCAGGTGCACAGAAGGAATTCAAGAGCCGGGTGCTGTCTGACGCACAGCCGGACATGAGCTTAGAAGGAAACCGAGCAGCATAAACAGCATTAGCATGAGGAAAGTGCCCAGGCCCGGGGAGGAGCCGAGGAGCACGAATGTTAAGAGAAACCCAGGCCCCCCCGGGGCATAAAGCTGAAGGCCCGGGGGCTTCACTTGAAGGCTCGCCTCGAAGCTGCGCCCGAAACCCTCGAAGACATCAGTACTCACGTGGCCGACCTGAGAGAAGAGACCAAGAGCGAGGTACAGAAACATGACTGCGCTTCATGTTTTTCGCGGAGCAGCTGGGCCCAGCATCTTGGCGTAGCCCTACAACAGGTCAACACGGAACACAAGTCTCCGGCTTCAACAAATCTGCACGCAGCGCACTAAAGAAAACCGCCTGGAAGCAGCCGGAGCCTTTGCCGAGTGTAAGTCTGCCATTCAAACACAATAGGACATATTTCTACATGCACTCTCCACATACCTGCATTCAAAAATTATGTAGGAATGCATTAGGAATTATACCAAGCCACATTCATCTCTCTTCAGCCAAACAGTTCCCGTTGGGGCGCGCGCCGTTGACGGAGAAGAGGAGTATCACGTGCGGTGCAGTTCGGAACGCCTCATTCAGCTTATCCTGGTTCTGCCGCGACGGAGTAGCCCAAACCTGCCAGGCTTATGAACAGGGAACAATCATGTCCAGTCGTGTCGGAACGGAGTGGAAGTGACATCTTGGAAACGAGGACAGCTCGCTCTCCGCTCAGCCTGCCTTGTGTTCAATGGACAGAACCTTACAGGCTATCACATTGTCGATTCTCTCCCTCAAAGCGTGGCCCCCACGAGGTTTTTGTGGCTGCTGCTCTTGATTACAAAGTACCTAGCACACGGCACGAGGCCTGCATTTCTGACATCATGACCAAATCATTACCCAGCCTGGTCGCAGGATTGCCGTGGATCTTCGAAGGCGGCCGTGAGCCTGTAGATGATTGTAGATGCATCTATTGGCCCAGGCCGCCCAGGCCCAGGCCCAGGAGGCAACGGCCCGCAACGCGAAAGCGGAGGCCTGGCCTGCGAAGGCGTTTTTGCTTGGCGGCACGGCGGCGGCAGTTGCTGCCCCCTTGGAGGGACCGTCCCTGCGTGATCCGTCCACGACGATGGGCACGTCATCGTCCCCGTCAGCCCACTCCGCCTCCGCATCCTCAGCCTGAACAGAGACTTAAACCCCACAGCCAGCTATTTTGCCAGATACCCTGCTTAGTGACTCGATTTAATTAAGGGAAACGACAGGGAAAACGAAGTAAAACTGCAGTTTCTGACAGCCAAGTCCGGATGCGAGTAAAAGTGCGGCGGACGAACAAACGGCTGGGAGGAGTCTCTGATGCAGGATCGCGTTTTCATGGGTTTTCAAGATTTGTTGAGCCAATTCAAAACCTGCCGGGCACTGTAGCCGTGATCTAATCGGCCAGCGGGACCACATATCTGAACTGCATATGGATACCTTTTCTATTGGACAAATTGACATCCGTTGCCCTGCACTCAGGTGGTCTCGATACTTTTCAATATTGACTAAGTCTTGAATGGATTTAGATTCGGGTGGCTTTGGGCAGTTCCGCTTTGGTATGGTTATGCGAGACATGCTCATCCCCGCAATTGGGTCTCTACCTCCACAACAAGGCACTTTGATGGCAGTGTCCATCAATGTCTAGTGAGTCTAGTGTTTAGGCCGCGGTGCTGGGATGATTTAGACCAGCACGCGAGGGGTTCACGTGAAACTGATGTCACGGTGACCTCAACGAGAGGTACTCCCTAACATGCATCAATCCTGCGTCGCATGTTCGGACTCATGGTCTCATGTAGCGGCGTCGAGTAAACAACCTGTTCTACGAGTACAGCATTTTTGCCTTCAACAGGCCAGAAAATCAGGCTCTTGGGTTTGCAGGCAAAGACCGAAGCTCCTCCTGCAGTCCCGCTCATGAGTTTGCAGGTGCGCCACCCTTCTTCCCCTTCCTCGAGGAATTCAAGATTGATTCGCAGTGGCATCAGGCGAAGACTGCATCATGGAGGCTCCGGAAACTGTAACCACCGACAAGCTAAGTTCAAGCGGCAGTGCTCCATGACACATGCTCGGCTCAGTTCTCACTCACACATGCTTCTGCGCTCGCAGTACAGCTCAGCATGGGGCAGCGAAGCTCAGGTCCTTACTGAGCACGCTAAAGCATGCTAAAGCGACTCCACAATGAATTCATCAGAAGCCGAAAAAAGCACCAGCAGAGAAACAGCCAGTTCTTAGGCCGCCACCATGCGCAAAGCAGGGCTTCTCCGGCTCTCCCATCATTGACCATGGCCCGAACGGCCCCTTTCACCATGTCACGGAGCTTAAGCAGAAGCAGAACAGCTTGTCTCAAGGCGGCAAATAATGACCCAATAATGCACAGTCGCAGGGAAGTATTGAGCAAGCTGACAAAGAGAGGTGATGCATTTTCGAATCGGGCTCTGCAGCACGAGACTGTCGAGCCAGTCAGGTCCTGGTTCCAGCTCGGCAAGGGGCCCCGCCTCAAGCCTAGCAAATGCACGGGCGAGACTCATCAGCGAGTCCTGAAAGATCCTGACCCCTCTGACAACCAGCTGCTACGATCACTCACTGGTCTTCCTTCGGAGACCGAAATGGGACTTCGTGCACAACGTCGCATCTCCACACCGACGGGAGCTTGCATATCTTGCATGTGCAACACAAACGGACACAAACACCCATTAATGCAGCATAGCAGGTCTTATCAGGTCTTGGATCGCAGCCTTGCAGCGGTTCGAGCATGGGCAAGAAATCCCAGGAACCATCGCTACGCGAAAACTCCGACTCCCAAGCTTGCAACAGGAATTAAGATATCAGTCGATGTCGGAAGTTCTGAAAACAAGGATGCACCAGGCCCGGTGCCGATGCGGCATGCCAGTAGAATGCTGCGAGGCGAGGACTGTAAGTGCTGTAGACAAGTGGTTGCGAAGAGCACCATCAGTTTGCCAATCCATGATGCCGTACAATAGCACAATGTCTCACAATTGGATGGGGTCCCCGCCCCCAACGTCAGACTGTTGCCGCGCAAGCAGCTGAGCGAGAAGGCGAAATTGTTTGCAAATGCCCAGGCAGCTGCCAGGTGGCCACCCGTGCCAACCTCAGGCAAGGCCACTTAACGCATCCGCATGACATGGGCCTTGTCATGCAACCTAGCTGCATCGCTCATGGTCCTGAGGTTGCACTGTGCGCCGGATGTCGTCGAATGGCACGAGGCGGGCCTATAGGCTGATGGGCGGCAACAACAGCATCGCTCCTTGTTCATTAGCTTGAAGGCTGGATATGCCACTATCAAGCGCTTCGTCAGAAAGGCCTCTGCTCCTACGGAAGTGCGAGGATGCACCAGGAAGCTATACTCCTGTGCTGCTCTGAAGGACCTGTCTGAGGAGAAAAGAAAGGCGGAAGGCGAACCGAGAAAGCACTTCATGCCGTGACATACGATCAAACACGCGGAGTCTGTTTCTCACACCAGAATCAACATAGTCTCGTCAGAAGCATTTGGCTTTGAACCGAACTGCTTCATGGCTTAAGCTAAGTCTGGCACCTGTGAAACGGAACTTTGCGCAATGTGAGACGAGAAACTCTTGTAATGAACAAGTTTAGCAACAAAACCACTCAATTATGCCACAGTGGGATCGAGGGCTCTAGCCAGCACCACCAGGGACATCCCCTGAATTTGAAGAAGCAGTGCTGGTGCGTGCTATTGCAGCTGATGGGGTCAACACCCCTGAATGGGTCACGTGTTTCACGTTGCGTCGCGAATTCTTCTTTCGAATTCTGCAGTCGGCCTGCGAGATCGTCGGCGAACTGTCGTCTGCCTGATTACGTTCTGTGTCCTCGTCTCCTTCGGAGAAGAACATGTTGGAACCAGCGGCTTCCCCACCATGTTTTACGAAAAGCTTTTGGAGGAGCTCGTCGATTCCGTTCTGAACGGTGGCGCTCGGTCGAGTAGTCATTTTGTGTGTTAGGGATCGGATGTGCGTCATAGGTCGAGCAGACACTGCTTCGTCATCCTCACCATCTTCGCCTTCTTGTTCCTGATCTTCCTGGTCCGCAGCAACCTGCAGGGCCGTGGCAACATGAACTGCTCTGATGAATGGGGTTTCATGTCGTGATGAACTCTGAGAAGGGTTCCCGGATTCCTGCCTCTGATTGGCTTTCAAAGAAAGCGTGCTCGAGCGCAAGATCTGCTCTCGGCCGGGCTGAAGGGTCTCGTGACAAGGTCGACTGGATGAAACTAAGCAACAAATCTGAGCATGGCGCTCCATCAGACACTCTCTCTGTTCCAATATGCAAAGGAGGTGAATCCTTGATGATTGCCTCTTTCATTGACGCGGAGGTTTGCTCCACTGGCGTGTACGGAAACCGGCCGTATGTCAGGAGAAAAGCAACTGCACCCAGCGACCAAATATCAACCAGGTAGTCATAGCCGACATTGGTCAACATCTCTGGAGCCATGTACGGAGCCGTGCCGTACACTCCGAAGAGCTTTCCTACCTGTGGCATTGCTGCTGCAAGACCAAAATCGCACAACTTCAGTGTACGATGCTCTGGTCCACCCCACAGGAAGTTATCAGGCTTGACATCTCGATGGACGATTTCTGCTCTGTGGGTGTGCAAAACTCCTTTGATCATCTGCTTGAAGATGTCAGATAAGTCTGGCTCTGTCAGCCCATCAACGGTCATGTCCAGCATGGAGCGTTTGCATCTTTCGCAAACCATGTAGTACAGGGAGTTGTCGGAAAAAGCCCGATGAAGCAACACAACATGTTCGCACTCAGCAGCGCAGACACGCTTCCAAAATACAACTTCGTCTCTGGTTGCCTTGTTGCGTGTCCGGCTTATTTGGCCAGTACAAACCCCCGTCTTGTCGTCGTAGTGCCGAACATCTACAATCTTCACAGCCAATTCCTTGCCATTTAGCTTGTCTTTTGCTAATCGGACTTGTCCAAAAGTTCCCTGCCCCAGCTTCTTGCCGAGCTTGTAGCTATCGTAGAAGTTGAACTCCACAATATCTTGATTTGTTGTCTTGCCTCAATGCACGGCTAGTTTTTCACGAATCGGCTTGCTTCGCCTCCCAATAACCTTCTAAATCTGTCAATTAGGGCAAACTAGCCCGGAAGATTCTTCTATTGTCATTGAATAAAAACTGTCTCTCACATCTTAATCTTGCCGAAGAGATGCATGCACCGCATCCCATAGCCGCCCGGAAGGCAATGCTAAACCCCTATGTCTTTCTGATCCTGAGCCTTCGCAGAAGCACCGGAACCGGGAGGCCGGGAGGACGCTGGAGGACGCTGGAGCTACGCTGCGGGGCTTCGCTGCAAGAAGGGAGCGCTGCGCAGTAGCACAGTACCAAGCTTCGCCTAGGGCCTAGCGACCTACGTCGTGTGCCGGCGTAAACAGCGGTGCCGAGTCAACTCGGCTCCGAGAATGGAGAAATGGCGGCTTCGTGCCGCTGACTCCATCTTTTGCTTTGAGCTCTGGGTCGAACATCTGCTTCGCAGAAGGGAAAGCACTTATGGCTTTGCTGTACCTCGTGATTTGAGGATCTATGTGATCGACACTGACATGATACCCGCGGGTCCGTAAGAAGTCAACTCTAGCATCATCTATAGCTGTGCGGCCCTTCTGGTTCACAGCACCTTCCCTAAGCCAAGGTAGCCTCTCCCAAGAATGACATGGGTGCCCTGGATTGGGATGGCCAATCTTGGGGTTCGTGACGTAGCAACAAGGCACCAGCACCATGGGTCGCAAACTCTTCGCGCAAGCGGCAGCAATGGCTTCATCCGTCAGCAAGCCGCATGCGTGACATGCCACAACCATGCAGTCGGAAGGCAACGAGATTGGTTCGGCAGAGTTGTCTACAGGTCTTCGTCGCATATCACAAACTTTCCACTCAAATCTGTCTCTGAGAAGCGGCCACTGCCTCATGGCACCTTCTGAAAGCATGCGGGACAAGACCGACTGCTTGCGATCCATTGCAATAACTCTGGCACGCGGCCACATGAGGGCCAGGAAAACGCCCAGCAATCCGCAGCCGGCACAAAGATCCACCACAGTACTAGCTGCGTATGATTCTTGTCGGGCCTGCCTCTGTACAAGGCATGCCACCTCGAATGCTTCAAAGAGCTCTTTCCGCTTCAGTTTGTTGGGAAGTGCACGACCGATCGCTGCACCAACTTCGTACAGTAAAGAAGCCTGGTCACCTTGCCAGCTTTGCACAGAATGCAGGATGCAGCAACATGGTACAGCATCAATAGTCCTATAACGGAAGCATACCATGAAAGAAGCAACTGTCCATTTTGAACCGATTGCCTTCGTGCGCCGCTCGCTCGAAGCTCTCGATGTCCCCAGATGAAATTCGATTCCTCGAAGTCTTTCTCCATTGCGATACTGGCAAGGTGTGACGTGCCAGCACTGCTGCCACATCTGCTGGCCGAAGAAGTATGAGTATACCAAACCACAGCGGCCACATGTTTGCGCAAACTGAGTGGCCCTAGGCCCTGCAAATGCTGCCACTCTGTCTCAGAAAGCTTCGTCTACTCGACAACACTACATGAGTATACAGTATACATAAGTGCTCTGTCACCTGCTCAACGTCTGCTCCCAGTGTCACAATTCGCTGGGAGGAGTTCCCCTCTGTCTTCCTAATGGTCCTAAGCCCTGTAGACTTGCGAGACTTGCGGGTCAGCGAGTTGCACTGAGCTTCTGCAAAAAGACCGGAGCTGACCACACAATCGCTTCTGGCCACTTAGTGGTTGCACGACAGCACCAGCGTCTGGGAATCATGACGCACCAGCGCGGCCCGCTTCTGGCCATTTTGTGCCGGAATCGCAACTGTTGGGTCGCGCGCGCTGGCCCACAAGCTCAGAACCTGCAGCACCAAGCTGAGCGGATACGGAAATAATTTGCACTCGCACTGTTGGCTGACTCTTTGCCTCTGCTTGCTTGCACCTTTCTCGCGTCCCCCCACTTCCAAGCCAAGGACGATCGTGTATGCCAGCGTGAGCGCGGCGAAGCAGGCGACTTGATACCTGCACAAGTTTGCTGCAGTGGCCTGTCGTCTGAATGTGGGGACATGTTGGGCTTTTGACCATCGAACATGCCTCACGGGTGCCAGTCCATAAATCAACGCAACCTCGCACACTACTGGAAGCACAACCGAGTCTTCGGAACTGCACATCTCAGGGCATGACGAAGGGCAACGTGATACCATAGTTGCCCTTCAGAAGACTCCAAAAATCGCGGCGGACCTGAAAAACGGCGGAGCGGATGCTGAACTTTCAATGCCCATCGCATGCTTTCTCTCAGATGCCAATGCTTTTGCTGCCTGACTCCCATCATGCGACATTTGCGGTCTTTTGATTGTGCTTTGGTGCTTCAGCGTCGTTTTGATGTGGCCGACACTCTGCAAATGCCAAGCTGACCTTCGTACAGCGAAGTGAATGTGCGAGTAGTAGTCTGTCGTATCCATATCGGTCGCGGTGGAAAGGGGGCCCCCTGGTCACCAGCGAACAGACGAAGCAGCACTAGAACAACTTGTGCATGTCAACAGGTCGGAACGGTTTTTCTAGAGTCCGGTAGCTCAGCAAGCTGGAGCACGCCATGCAGCTATCTAGCAATGCTGCCAACATTGCTGCAACCTGCATGCGCTCAAGAGCGCCGCCGCCGTGTACACTTGTGCGGTGGTCTAAACCCTTTGGTCATGCTGTTCTAAAATGTGCAGCTGGCGCCAAATCTGTCGCATTGCTGCCGCGCGCTGCAGAGGAGCTGACGCGCAGACATTTTCAGCTATGTTGACTGACGCGCACTGACGCGTTGCAGTTTTCGGAGTTTGAAACCAACTTTACTGACGCACACACAGGAAAACACTCCAAAACGGACTGTGTCACCCAGATTCTAGTATACGACGTTATGGATTCGAAAAGAAGACAAGCTCAACAGACCATGCTGCAGCACACCGGTACTATCACCGCGTAACGGATGTTAAAGCCCGAGACAGAACCAGACTCCCGGAATTCCCAGAACACGTCCTTCTTTACCACTGCTGTTTCGGGGTTGTATGGGACGGCAAGAAAAAGCTTCGCCGGAAACACGGTTTTCTTTCCTTACACCATGCTGCTGCCGCAAGCTCGATAAACCACCAACAACAGAGACAATACACTGCATGTCCAAATTCTCAGAAAAAGACTCCACGGAAGCTTTCACTTCGGGTTGTTCACGCGCCATGCTCCCCAGAATATGCTTCATCATATTCTTGAAGTCCGACTCATCGTGAATGTGCGGTAGCAAAGTTTTCAAAACGGAACTAACAATACTGGACTTGTACTGCTTGGTGAGGTCGTTCCAGCGTATGCCTTTGGCAGCCATTACGCTTCAACCCCACTAGGATGTTTGAGCAGCTCGCTTCGGGAAGAGCGGGGCTGAGGGAAGGAAGGGGAATGGGTGGCCAAACCGACCCTTCACTGACGCGCCACTGTCGCGAAGCTGTCGCGCAGCTAGCGCGCACTACTGCATGTAAAACAAAATTTTCGGATCTACTTGTTCTTGCTTGCTATGTCGGTGTGTTCCTTTCTTGCAGAAGCAGCAGCAGTCGTAGTATACGGACATGATCCCCCAACAAGCAAAGCTTGCAGACTGAGAAGTCTCGGACATAGTGTGGACAAAGATCCCCCAATAAGCAAAGCTTGCAGACTGCGAAGTCTCGGACATGGTCTGGACAAACATCCCCCAATAAGCAAAGCTTACAGACTGCGATGTAAGCTGTGTAGTCCTTTAAGTTTCCGATCTTGTCTGTGTGTTCATGTAGATACAGTATCTTGCAAGTTTCGTTTATGAACGCGAGGGAAAGTTGAGAGATACGTGAATGAAACCTCGCGTCATGTCGCCTGTGAAAGCGCATGAGTCCTGGGAAGAAACCTCGTGGCCTCACGAGTTCCGCAACAGTGTGTATCGCAGCAATACGACGTAGTAAGGCACACTCATAGACCCATAGACATAAACATTAAGATTTCTATATTATACAAAATAAGAAGCTTGTCGTAGAATATGTGCCTCATCCAATCACCCAGAGCTTCCACGACTCTTGAGCTGCGCCTAACGAGCACGACATGGCAGAAGTTAACACTCGTTTCTAGGCCACTGACGCGTCAGCTAGCGCATGAGCAAAGTTATAGTTTCACTGACGCGCACTGACGCGCACCGAGTCCCAGCTGACGCGGACCAGACAAATCTTAACGTTTATATAAACTCCCACAGCCGGAGTTTAGAACGCCGCTCACTTCAACTCCTCTGGGCACGGACCTTCCTTGAATCAAAGCCCCAAAAGCATGCATGAGCATGCGGACTGGCTGCGACCTGCGGCAAGTCAGTACCACAACAATTTTAATCGATTATGCTTCGGGCCGCACATGCAGAATTACTTCTGCTCGCACACGATTGCGATGTTGAGCGCCAGCGCCGCATCCCCCATCCATTCGGGAAGACATGAACAATGTCACATGGCCGAGTGTGCACTTTCAGTGTGGTCACCATGAATGAGAGACCCAGTCATACTGGATGGACTATGACTCTCATAATGCCAGCTGCCCCCCACCGGCGGCGACAAGTTTGCAGCAGGCTGGCCAGCATCGTTATGCATGGGTATATTCTTGTATGTGAAACAAGTTCGACCAAAGCACGAAGGAGCACCCCCCACCCCTTCGAGTTGCAAGCCAGCCGAAGCTTGTGGGCCTTGTGAAACGCAGCAAGGGCCGCACCACCAGCATCAACGACCATCGCCCAAACAGAGCGTCCGAAATCTCCAGGCAAGGAATGGGTAAGACACCAATATGTAATACACAGTCACTCGTAACACATAGGCAGAAGACATGTTCGTGAGATCTCCACATAACAGATCATGACAGCCTCCGCGACTTGGCCATCGCTCCTAGTCTCACAATTCCTGAGGCAAGTCTCAACGTCTGGTGTCAGAGTCAGTGCAGCTCTGAAATTCAAGCCGGCGCGTGCACGCCGCACCACACCCCAGCACTCGCCCGACCCGATGCCAGAAACTCAAGACAGAATTCACACTATGGCTTTCGGAACGTGGAAAGCGTCGCGATCTGTAAACAAACTGTGCAAAACCAAATCAGCCAAGTCAGGCACGCTTCATGAACCACATAGCATATGCAGACTTGGCAGTTTTCCTCTCATGCTGCCCTCATGGGTGCACGACATGCCTCGGGAAACCCCCTGCGACATGCTTCCTGAGAAGTTTTATCGGCTCGCCTGCTCAGCTAATAATTAGTTACTATTTGCATGAAGTCGCATCAAGTAGAGAGCCGCAGCAGCGCTGGGTCCAGCAGCCGCATGGTCTGGACCCTGTCGGACAGATCGTGTCGTCACTGCCGTTCAACTCCAACGGCAGTCCAACGGCGCACTGTCCGAATTCACACTAAGTACACTTCCGAAACCTGTCCCAACCCCTATTCCCACGACCGCACCGAGGAGCTGCAGAACGCATTGTCTTTACCTCTGTTTCCTTTATGTCGTGCGGTCGACTTGGTGACCGTCCGACGCAAGCCGCTATGGCCAGCACTGTGACTCCCACTGAACCCTCCTCCAACAGTCCTCTACGTGTATCACAAACTGAGATAAATTGAGCGGAGCGCACTGGTAAGTTATATTCTTTCTACGAATGCAATGAGCCTCCCCCTCATTATTATCGGAGCATTCAGGTTTGAAACCCTGAACCAACCTACGGTGAGTGGTTGCTGGTCTCGGCTTCGTTAGAAGTTCCCCAGAATTCTCGAGCTGAGTTGGCCTGCAAAGGTCAACTTGCGGCGCTGAACTCTCTGGGAGCTCTAGAGGCTCCCAGGGTCGCTTGAGCACTCGCCAGCCATGTCCGTTTTCTCGACGGCCAAAATTCGGCGGAAGAAAACGCTTGTTTCCACCGTCCGCTGCGTCATCAGGATTACTGGCCGCAGCTGCAAAATTGACCGCACTCAGCAAGCTGCCTCGAGCACACCTGCTTGCGGACCTCGTCCTTCCAACACTGCCATGACCTGCTGCGAGGATCATCTTTCATAATCTTTCATACATGTGGCATGGTGTGATGTGATACGCTGTCTCCAGGGACTCGGCCAAAAGAAATGCCACACACCAGCAAGGTGTATATCTTAGCAGTGAAGGCAGCTGCAAGTTTGGATTGTTGCGATCGACTGGGACCGTCACACTGCGGAGTCTGCCAAGACCTTGGCCACAGTGTCCAGGACCTGGTCTGGACATGTCACGTCTTGGCATGCCTGTTGTGTTTGCCACCCGGACATCTCGCAGGGGCGTTGGGGCCCTGCGTCATCGCCAGATCTTGGCAGCATAGTATCTAGGAAAGTGAACCAGTAGTGACCTTTGGAGCATGATGCGGCGGGCTAGGCCCGCTCGGCTTCATGACGCAGAAACCAATCGCAAGAAAGCGGAATAACCTGCAGGGCTCAATGCCCGTAGGTCTGTGCACCCGGCCAGCACAGCCATCCATTGAACCAAATGCTGCATATCGCAAAGCTCGTTCTGCACGAATGACACGGCCATCCTAGCCAGAAGCCGTGTGGTCAAGAAGCAGTCTGGCAAGTCCATTTGTTTTGCAAGTCCTCTCTTTGCATCTCTGACAGCTGCGCCACCACGTCAGAAGCAGAGTTCAGCACGGCAGCCGTGGCGACATCCTTACTCATGGGCATCCATGCAGACTTTGCATGTATGCCTTGCCCTTGCAGCTTGTAGGTGCAAAGCAGTGGCCAGACCCTGCGAATCCAGCAAGCTTTCGTATCCTGCCGCTTGAATGAATATGGTTGCACTTGCAAAAACTAAGCCCCGAACGGAAACGACGAAGGGAAGCTAGAGTAGCCAGGATAACATCGTCTCGAAACATGTTCTTGAAGATTCTTGGTGGTTCCTTGCCATGCAGACTCCGCCACAGATTGCAGCTCCGGCATAGCATGGCCTCGTGAAAGACAAAAGCTGGTTTCAGAAAGTCTTAGCTGAAGTTGGTCAGATTATTTGCCAGTGGTGGGTAGCCATTAATCGTTCCAACGCTACAAGGTTGTCGAAGCTTTTCCACCGTGGTATTCTTGCACAGAACCAACAGACCAACAGAGCAGACTCGAATGCAGAATCATACATTTAAGAAGAAACTGATGTTTTCTCTCGCATGCTTTGGGAGTTGTAGCTTCTAATCACAGCCCTTCCAGTCATCAACAATGTCTTTGCAACAGGCCCCCGACGGCACACACTTCGTTGCCGATGCCGTCGTGCTGTCTCTTTGGCCTTGCTCCGTGCCGCTAAATGAGGAGCACTAGATTGGCAGGATAGTTTCAAAATACCTGTCCTTCTGGATGTTCCTCGTGCCGAGTGAGCGCTTCCAGTGAGCAAAAGGAAGCTGCCACGGATCAAGGTATGCCTGGCATGGCATAGCGCGGCTCTCAGAAACCTCGAAACTCACTCTTGTCAATCTGAGGCGGGCGCGAATGCCAGCAATGTGACCTTCAGCAACAAAACCTACGGGCACAGCTATAGACCTGGTGGCCGGCCCTTGTAAATCTTGTAATGGCAGATGACATTCAGGACTCGACGGCGCAGAAAACCAAGCGTTTGTGGGTCAGCTTCCATCTCATTGCCCGACAATGACAAGTTTCAATTCCACGAAAGTCTCGCCTATCGAGGCACGTGTCTAGACATGCTTCGATCAAGAAACAATATCGTAGAACGTGCATTATGCATTGGTCAACTAACCAACACCCTCGCTTGGGCTGACAGCACACAGACTTCTGAGATTTTCTGCGCAGCCCGAACTTCAACAAAGCTGTCTCTTGCTGTTGCCAATGTGGCATTAGCAAGAAGAGGTTGCAGCACAGCACTTCTTTTGAGCTCGCGATGGCTCGTGCATTGTCACAGTCGCACTCCACTTTGCACTGGTTGCCACAAGCAGCTGCTGAGCCTTCAAGCCTTGGCGTCCAAGCTCAGACTCGGCAGAAGCGGACGACTTTATCACCAAAGGCCCGAGCTGTCGCAAGGAAACGATTGTCGCGCTTGAACCTGCAGAACTGCTCAGGCCCACTGCCGCCACGTCATGGACATGCTTACCTTGTCCTGTCGCTCTGATTCGGCTGGACACCTTTCTCAGGGTTCAGAAGGTCTCTGACGACGCAACCCCACCAAACGCCCGCAGTCAAACAGCTGCCTCCAAGTGAGCTGAGGAGGCCTCATTCAAACCAACGCTTGCAGGACCAGCATGCGCACAAGCTCTGGAGTCAACGTTGTAAGCTTTTGGCAGGCACCCCACGGCATGGTGGCGACACCAATCCCTGGCAGGCGAGTCACCAACAGATCGCGAACACTCTAACTCTAACGCCGACGGCACTTTTCATCGTCCGCTGCACAAGTCCGCGTGACCCAGTCGCCAAGTCACATCATGTGACACCTTTCGGCAATGTCTCACTGCAAAGACTCGGGGGCCTCTGCCACACGCTTCTCTTGGATCAGATCATCAGAATCCGCCTGTACAGAATTCCTAGCCTCCTTCTCCAGGAAATCCAAGAAAGCATTGCCGAGTGGCTCAGCAAGCCGGGCTTCAGCAGCTGCCGCTGCAGCTTTCACTTGTGCACGACTTTTTTGGGCCTCCTCTGGCACACCGCCAAGCACATGAAGTGCTTGAGCTAAAACCTGCTCAGCCAAGGCTCGCTGCCCGGAAGCAAGGTGCTCGTGATACAGTGCAAGCATGGAGGCGACCAGCCGCCGATCCACCAAAAACTCTTGGTCTTCAAGTCTGCGTCCCTTCTCTTCTAACAGAACCTCCAGAGCTGCAGACGTCTCCTTCAACTCCGCCTCTGCAGCGTTACACCGACTTGAAAGCACCGACAAGTCAACCGAGAGAGATTCTCTCTGCTCATCTGGAAATACTTTTTGAACCCCAGCCGCGGCAGCCGCGGCAGCCGCAACGGCGGCGGCTCCGCCCTGAGAGGCTGTGGCTCGTGGCGCCTGGAGCTCGCGGAGCTCGCGCTTCAAGCTGGCGTTCTGCTCATGCAGCGCGCCCTGTTCCTCCATGATCTCCTCCAGCTTTTGCAGAGCCTCTGCGGAAGCCTGCAGCTCTGCATCTTTCTGTCGGAGAAGTTGTTGCAGCTGCGAGCGCTCCTTTGACTCAATGCCTTGTCGTCGCAAAGACGCCATTTGCTCCTTGAGCTCTGCATTCTCGGAAGAAAGCTGCTCTACGCGACAAATGGCTGCTTGGTGTGCACTCTGCCAAGCCTCGGCTTGCTGCGCCAAAGCTTCAAACTGAACATTCTTTGATGTCAGATCTCGACATCTCCTCTGGAGTGCCATGTGCTCCTCAAGCAACTTCTCGTAGCGCTCGTTGAATGATGTCAGCAGCCGCTTTGTTTCGGGGGCATGCGACGAACCAGCTTCGAGTGCGATTTGGGGCAATGCCTGCCTTAAGACTTTGCAACACCAACTCGCCACTTGCGCAGTGGACAACTCGGCACCCTTCTCCGAGATAGCCTGAGTTAGATCTTGCGAAGCCTCAGAGCTGGTGCCGAGAAGCTGCAAGCTGTGTTTCAGACCTGGGAGTTCGCAGAGCTCTGCAAACTCTTTTAATGCTTCATGTTGCTCGTGCTGGCATGGGTCAGCCTCAGAGTCCCCAGATACAGATGCACACACTGAATCTTCACCTTTCAAGGTTGCTTGCTCAAACGAATTCAGAGGGCTAGGTGTCGGGATCCGTGCGTCTGGCGCGTAGCTTTGATGCCCATCTTCTTCGTCATCGTCGTCTCCTACGGCATCGACTAAGGCATCCTTGATCTCGCCCAGCGTGGACTGGGCCAGGGCTTTCAGCGACTGCATGGTGGCGAAGCATGGCACTCATTGGGTAACTACAGTGCGAGTTTGTGACTCGGCTGCGGTAGTGAAGGTGCGGAGCAATTCAGGCTTGCTGACATTGCCTAGGCATTGGGACGATCTGACCCTATGCTTGCACATTGCTTAGGATCTCTGCCTCGCTTTTGTCGCCCGCAAGCACTTTACAAAGTCAGTGCCACCCTGCAACTGCACCTCAGAGTGGTCTGGTCCCAGCTTCATCGGCTCTCTAGGCTCGCCGAATGCCCATAACTTGTCGCTCTGTTCCATCACTGATGACTTTCAACTCAACATTCAAGCGCTCGGCGTCAAGTTGTTCGATGTAGGGGACTGCTTGAAGGATCGCCTCGCGGTACCTCTCTTCTGCTTGCTTGTTCCCTAAATCCTGCATTGGATTCCGTTCCAGATAAATCGTTTTCAAGGATGGAAAAGATGCCAGGTTGGCAATCTGCGCCAGGTCCTCGATCTTGTTGTCGTTCATCCACAATTCTTGCAGCTTCCGCAGCTCTGGGATAGGCTTTATCTGGGTGATAGCATTTCTCACTAAGTCCACTTCAACCAGGTCTGTCAGCAAAGCAAACTCGTCAGGAAGGTCAGGCAGGTTGTTATGGCCCACGTAGAGGTGGGTCAGGCCAGCAAGATTATGAAAAAACGAAGGCTCCCAAGACTCCAGCCGATTGTTTTGCAAGCTGAGATGTCGCAGAGCAGGTAGTGATGGCAAAGACATACTAGTAATCTTGTTCTTGCCCAGCCAAAGCTCTTTCAAATTCACAAGGGACGAAACCTGCTCCGGGATAGCTCTAATCCTGTTGGATCCAAGTTCCAACATCTTCAACTGGGTGAGATGAAAGATGCCCTCCACGTCCACGATCTTGTTGCTTGACAAGTACAGATTCTCCAAATACTCAAAGGGACAAGCTGCCAGTGGCTCTATGCTGCGGATCTTGTTGAATGACAAATCCAGCACAGTGAGGTTCCGCAAATGGCTGATGTTCTCGATTTTCTTCACCATGTTTTGATAGAGCCTAGCTTTCAGCCGACATTTAGTCATGCTAAACTCGAAGTAATTACTCGAAAACTCTGGATGCATCATCTTGCATCAGAGAGTCTCCAAATGCTCGAGGTTTGTGTTGGTCTCCAGGTTCTCAATCTTCTCGACACAGTTGGCGATCAAGCCTCTGGTGCGCTGATATGTTAAACAACCAGAGTTGCCGCATTTCTCTGTTTGGCTTGATGCATGGACAAAGCTTCCGATGCAGCCCTAGAAGAGAGCCAGGCGACATAATTTCCGGAGCTTCCTGACAGGCACTCCGCTGAGAGAGTCGACAACACACCGCACTACTGGACGGGCGCATGGACATTACGTGAGATGCCAAGCATGTCTCGTGCCGGACACCGCCAAGTTTTAGCCGCGGGACTTTCCAACAGCCTCTAGATTTTCCAACTTCCTTAGTCGGGGCCGGCAAGACTCGGCTGGACGTCGAGCAAGTTCAATCATGGTTTTAGTAGAACTTAGTAGGGGAAGTTATGTTAGAAAGAGTGGCTCTCTTACCGAACGGTCTACGGCTGACAGCAACAAGTAGGAATCCAAGTAGCTTGATGCGCGCACACTGATGCATCACCTCGTCGTCGTCAGCGTCAATCGGGTAGTCGATGCCAAGGCGATAATATGTAGGACCATCATCATGATCATGATCCGGAAGCTGAACTCTTGTTCGTCTGGCGCTTGGGCCCGCTGGAGGCAAAGGTGGGGGTGGCACCTCCTCGACATGAGGCCCCTCTGCACCCGATTCCACGTCCATTGCTGCCCTCTGGTGGTTGCTGAAATCTTTAAGCCGTGTCTCGTGCTTTCAAAAGAACGAACTAAGCGACGAACTGTCTCACCTTGTCGCTTCACTCAGAAGCACATCCTGAAAGCCGAAAAGGCTCTTGTTGGAGTCCGCTCTGCACCTTCGCTACGACGTCCACTGGCCTTCGAGGTCAAGATATCACAAGTTGTTCGCATCTAGTTGCCTGCTTCCTTGGTGATGCTAGCCCTTCACGAGCAATAAACATTGTAACTGTACCTTGCAATATCACGGGAACAGTATTATAAACGTGCTGCCTGCATCCTGACCAAGACTTCCTGCACGAGTTGTGCATTGCTTCACGGCCAAAAAAACATCTTGCTTGTGGTTTTGGATGTTTTGGACATTTATGGATGCTCTAATGCTTTGCCCAGTCCTAGCATGCCAAGGTCATCGTCATCGCGCCTACTCCAGGATCAGGAGCTCCAGGCGAAAACGGTGCAGCTGTTGGAGCGCCAGGGGCATTGGCCATGTGCATGGCCCGAACCTCAGCAAATGCAGTGCAACAAGATTCTATGCTCGCACCCCGGTGTGCAGGCCGAGAGCAACACAACAGCCTGCTGGCCGGCAGCTCCAGCCTTGGGATGTGGCTTAACTCAAAGCAAACGTTCATGAGCCATTCCAGCCTTCACAAACTCAGGCAGGCACAGCGGATGCAGCCATCTCTGCATACTTTGCGGCATTCATGGCGCGCTCCGACGCTGCCTGGTTGTTTGACACGGCACTAGCCCCGTGGATTGACAGCCTTCGGTTCTGAGCAACGCACAGATGCTTGACGGATAAGGTTGAGCAGGTCCTGACTCAAATTATCAACACGTCTTGTCGGCATGTAGGGAACATAGAGAAGTCATAGGTCTGATTCCGGACATCCTCGAACTGTCCCGGAGGCACATATCCTTGACCTCGAATCGCCGTACAGCATCAATGCAATTCAATGCAATCTCGCTTCAAGCTTTTTAAGGGTGGATAACTGGGCACAGCACTCATGAGTCCACCATAGCTTGCCGTCGTTGGATTGGCAAACCTTTCAGAAGGCTCACCAAACAATCGGCTGACTCTTCTGTCCAACTGTTGGTCCCCAGCGATGTGGAGCACCACGGCATGCGATGTCCTAAGTTGCACAAGGCAAACTAGAAGGGTCGCCCGGGTTTCGTGCGGATGTGGCTTCTCTTGCTTGAGCCATGGGCTTGGAACCATGATTGGTGATGGACTACGTGGAAGGTGCGGCGCTTCCTTTTGAAAACTAAACGAAGCTCTCTTGAAAGCACGTGCTTACTTTTGCCTTACTTTTTCACAATATGAGCTTTCCTTGGCGTGCTCGGAATCTACTCTTCTTGCCTGGAGCCGACGGACAAGTGCAGGGCAGAGAAACTTTTCACCAGGCCTCGAGAAAAAAGTGACTGCACAAGTCGTGCTTGAATTGTCGCCCGCTGGCCATGGTCGAGCGGCCCATCGGCTTTAGAACTTCAGATCGGCAATCATCATGGACACAAAAGAACAGTGCATAGGCTCTTAACGAGGACATGCCTACTAGTAACCTGCCCTATTGGGGGTACTGCTGAACAGTCGGGTTTTTAAAACCTGTCCCTATCCTCGCTTGTCCCTACGTGCTCTTCTGGGGTCCTAAAGTCCTAGAAATCGGAGCATCTGGATGAAGATTTCCGCCGAACTCTGCAACTCTCTTCCGACTCCTTGTCGCTCTCTGCGTGTGTCTCTCACGCACTCTATCCTGACTGCGCATCCCCCACACACACACATACACGCACCGACATCACATTGCTGGTAAACTGGAGCGATGCGATACTAGAGGCTTGGACTTGAAAAGCCGACTTCTGTCGGATGTGTTGAGGGATTACCGCTCTGGCCCAGGAAAGCATTCTACAATATTCCAGCTGATAGCCACTTGATCTTAATTGTGAGGGATATGTTGGGTCGAACCGAGGACGAATCCTTTCAAACTCGGTACCAGTCTGGAATGGTTGGTTTCGGTCGGTGCCACGATTGATGGCAGCAGTGGCAAAGCACCTTTTTGAGACCTGCGACTGTGCCAAAGCTGTCTACAAACTTGTGCGTCGCTTGCACTCATTGCACCACGGCTGTGGAATTAGTCCAGATCGTTGAGGCCGGCATCGGGCATCGGCACAGAAAGCATGGCACTGGCTGTGGATTGCTCTCCTGTGCTGACGTTGTCCAGCTGCAGTGCGCAAACAGCCTCCGGTGTCAGTGGACAACCCTCACCATTGGCACCAGGGCCACCCGCCTTCAGTGCCATTTCGCAACGGACTGCAAGTCTCAATGTCTCATCCGCTTTGCCTGGTACATATTTCGACTTTGCGTGCGCCAGGAGTGCGTCTTGCCGAGCTTTGGTGTAGCTGCCAAGCTGCAACGACGTCATCGAGCGAAGAACAAGGGCATCCACCATTGTTTCTTGAAGCAATGATATCGCAAGTGGTTGCTTGTGGATGGAATCGAAAGCCACACTGCAGGCACGCAAGGCCTGGGACGAACGCTGCATTGCCAGGCTGTATGACTGGCAGAAGTATGCAATTCTGGCCGCCGAACTCCTGCAATGCGAAACTTCGATAGCGTGACCCACGGCATGGAGCTGTTGCTCATCTTTGGCGCCATCCATGGCCAGAATACGATTGCTGATGTTGTCATATTCATTCAACGCAACACATGCCTGCGCGCGATTTACATCATCAAGGCCTGGACTCGTATTTTCAAGACCACATTCGTTCAGCTTCGCATCGGTTTTCAACCGAAGATCATGCAAGCATACGAAGGCCTTCATCATTCCTTCCTCCGTTTGTGGGTTGTCCGCCACATCATCATCCGAACTTGTTGTATCTGCATCCACTGAAAGATGCTGGAATCTGGCATAAGATCCCCAAGTCATGCTGCACAGCAATTGGCGTCGTAACACTTCACACTAAGAAGCCCGTCCGACATGACTTCGACTTGCCTGATCCGAGTACCTCCAGAATTCCAATCTATTACGTGTGGCAATTGATACGATTCCTCTGATTAACCTCCGCAAATTATCACCGACAGTGCTAGTAACACTCTCTGATATGTCTTGAGCTATAATCTGCAAAGAACGCTGCCTGCCCGCAATGAAAGGGCGGATGAGACTGGGATGCCAATTTCGCACGGTCTTCAACTGCTGCTGAGCTTGTTCAATCTGTGCACTGATTCCTGCAATCGTTGACGCTGTTTGCAGCTTGCAACACAGGCTTTGCCGACAGACCAAACGTGTGCGCGGGCGGATGAGAGGCGAGGGCAAGTCAGCAACGAGAACGAGCAGGAGTCAGGAATGGCACGAGGTGGAGTCGGCCAGAACGCGAGGGTGCAGTCAGCAACAACCGTAAACCCTAAACCGTCTAAACCCTAAACCCCCTAATGCCTAAATCTTCGCTGAGGGCTCGAAAACCGCCACCGCGGAGCCCGAAGCGGCCCGAAATCGGCAGAAAACGCGTACGCCCAGCCTAAGCGACTGGCACCATGCATGCCCCTCGGCCACCTCCCACGGTGTGGTATAAAGGAGAGACCCTAAACCCGAGAGTTTTGCTGGCACATTGTTTCGACAAGGGTTGCACGCCCCAACCCGTCACGAGTTGGAGCAGCTTGTCCCTTGACAAGGGCTGCACCCTGCAACCCTTCACGACTTGGAGCGGCTCCCCAAAAGGACAAGGACTGAACCCCGGAACTTTTCACGATTTCGAGCAACTCCCGAATGGACACGGATTGGACCCGCCAACCCTTCACGATTTGGAGCGGCCACTCAAAAACACAAGGATTGGACCCCCCCAACCCCTCAAGATTTGGAGCAGCCACTCAAAAAAAGAAGGATTGGGCGCCCCCAACCCTTCACGACTTGGGGCAGTTCCCAAAATGGACAAGGGTTGGACCCCCCAACCCTGCACGATTTGGCGTTTGTTCCTTTCCAGTATGCTGGACAAGCCAGAGAGTTCGGTTCACCGCGAAAGCCGGCGAAAATAACGGCGGCGGGGACGGAGTCGCACAGCGGCTACATTCGCGACACGACGAGGTCTATCTTGGTACTGATCGCATATCTTTCAAGCTCCGTATCAAATCATAAGCAAACATCAGGAGCAGGGCACGTCTGTGCCGGAACACCCGCCAACCATGCAGGGAATGTGCAGCCACACGGTAATGTTTTCCAGCTCGGCCCCTTGCAACTTGTGCACCGTACCGGCATATCCTGGACGGACCGGGTGGTCAGTGACGTACGCGCAGCCGTCCACCCAGCCCGTGACGGGGTATACACCGCCAGGTTGCGCACTGTCTTGGTGAGCACATGGAGGCAGCGAGAGTTCGGGTCGCAGCTCTTGACAATGGCCTTCATGCGGTTGCGATGAAATCCGAAGACTTGTCCACTATACGGGCCAAATGCACACGGAGGTTCTCCTCGACATTGTAGATCTCCATGGACAGAGGCACCGGCGGTCGGCCGGCGATCACGTTGTTCCCCTCGTCGTAGTTGTCTGCGTCCGATTCCCAATCCACCTTGAGGTCGGCCAGCTGCCAAAACGGCTGCGTAGTGAAAAGCATCCATATGGAAACGTCGACGTGGGCGGCCGATCTTCGGGTACAAGTGGCTATGGCAGTGCGCGGGTCCTTGCGGTACAGCAGTGGTACAGCTGCTGCATGTCCCAGGCGGTGGGCTTCCGGTGACTTCCGATGACCGGACCAAGCCTCGTGGCGAAGGGCGATACGCTTCAGGAGCTGCCTCGTGGGCATCGCAGTCCGCAAGGTCTCCAGCTTCCGTCCTTGCAGCGCCACATCTCGTGGAGCTCGATCTGGTGCACCATGTGCCACTTCGGGCTTTGGTGGGCTGCACGCCTGGAAGCTGCTAGAAACCGCTTGCAAACACGAGAACGGGGACTCGATCTGCTGCCCCCCCACATCTGGACGATGGCTCCAAGTCGTTCTGAAAGAGTTGGGAAATCTCATCAACTATCATCGACTGCGATCATGTCGTACTTCGTCAAGCAGTCCATCACTGCCACTGAGGAAGAAGGCACCGGCACAAGTGTCCACGCCCGCATCGGGGTTGCTTGCTCCGGACCCTAGATGCTTGCTGGGCCGTAGGCAGTGCGTACAAAGCTCCGCCACCTTGTCGCAGGCACCTGCGAACGCACTTGGCGACCACCGTGGTCTTACCAGTGCCTGGAGGGCCAGTCACTGCTTGGGGTTTGTTCTGCTTCTTGGCTTCCTCCACGATGCTGTCCCACACCACTTCGTTCGGTGCCTCCCTCGCCGCCTTCGCCGTATCCAGCAGCTTGCAGATGCCCGTCTCCAGCCGTTCCTGCCTCTCGTTGAAGCGGACGTCCTCGAACATGGAATCTTCCTCGCCAGGTAGCAGGTGACCTACTTCTCGCAACGCCTCCTGGCCCTATGTTGCCTCATCATCCTCTCTGTCGAGCGAGCCGCTGCGGAACTTCTCGACCAGGGCCCGCTGCGCGCGAACCTTGGCAAACAGGGTCTCGATCTTGGCGTTGCCTACTGCCTGGAGCTTTAGATCCGCGCGGATCTGCTCCTCGTTCTCTGGGCACTGCAGCACCCCGCTGGCGAAATGGGCATACTGGGAAGGTACCTTGTCCTGCGCCTGGGACAGCATGAAGTCGCCGAGGTGTCGGAAAAGCTGTCGCAAAGCCGACCACTGCCCGAAAGTTGAAAAGCGAGAGCATGTCGCAGGCCACCAGCTTCTCACCGCTCATGGGGCAACCATTGGCGAAGCCGTGTAACTTGTGGAGCTTGGTGTCCTCGTCGTCTGCGGGATGCACATCCCCCCCGACGCCTAATGGAGGTGGGCGATGCGACCGTCTTTGTTGGTCTTGCGACAAGACTCCAAAAGGCTCATATCCTAGCGTCGCCAGGTTGAGTCCTCGTGTAGGCCTCAACCAGCTGCAATGGTGTCTCCATGCCAGGCCAAGGCCCGATGGCGGTCATCGCTGTGATTGCTGTCGCTCTTACTTAGAACACGAACTGCTCTTGGCCACCGCTTGCTCGCTCCCGTCGCTGTCAGAAAAACCACGGGTTTTGCTTTCCGGGCGGACATCGACTTGTGCGCGATACGCAGCCAGCAGTGTCAGTGTTTGTTTCATTTTCTTTCCAACAGCCAACGATCGTCCGAAGGCGATCGGATCCACCTCTGCAGCTTGTCCGGCGCAGGCCCTTGGTAGGCTTCATCTTCGAGGCCCAGCCATCGCGAGCCAGCCATTGCAGAAGCTTCTCCATGCCGAACAAATAGCCTTTCGCCGCCGTTTTCACCATCGGCTGCACACGCTTGGCCTTGCTCTTCGTGTGTCCAAAACAGCCGCCTGCTTGGGACTCTCGCCGAACTTGTCGAAGGTAGCCGCAGCTGCGAGGAACTTCTTGCCGTCCTCCGCCTCCAGCATGTCCACGACACCTTTGAAGCCCAGCTTCTCTCCAGCTGTCGCGTCCTTTGCGGCGTATGAGCGAGGAGCAAGCTCTTGCCCATGTTGATTGTGCTGCCGGCCTCGCTGAGAGCGTTCCAAGGCGATTACAGATCTCGGTCGTCCAAATTTTGTTGGGCATTGGCGACGGTGCTGAAACTCGGGAAATCTGCGTCCGACTGCTGCCTCGCGGTGTGCAGAAGGCAGCGGCTTTGTTCAGGTGCCAAAGCCCATCCACCGGCTCAGATCACGATTTGGAGCGGCTCCCCAGAAGGCCTAGGATTGGACCCCCCCACCCTTCACGATATGAAGCAGCTCCCGAATGGACCAGGATTGGACCGCCCCAACCCTTCAAGATTTGGAGCGGCCACTCAAATGGACAAGGATTGGACCCCACCAACCCTTCACGATTTGGAGCGGGTCCCAAATGGACAAGAATTTTCACCCCCCCAACCCTTCACGACTTGGAGCGGCCCCCAAATGGACAAGGATTGGACCACCCCCCCCAACCCTTCACGACTTGGCGGGTGTTCCTTTCCAGGAAGCTGACAACTGATTTTATGTTTTTCAGTTTCTGCTTGAAAAATGCGCCATTCACAGCTAGGGAGGGTGTCGGCCGATCTCGGTGTTTCCCCCTATTTCGCCAGCTCGATTGAATCCTTTCACGATATGAAGCAGCTCCCGGATGGACCAGGATTGGACCCCCCAACCCTTCAAGATTTGGAGCGGCCACTCAAATGGACAAGGATTGGGCCCCACCAACCCTTCACGATTTGGAGCAGGCCCCACATGGACAAGAATTTCACTCCCCCAACCCTGCACGATCTGGCGTTTGGGCCTATCCAGGAAGCTGGACAAGCCACAAAGTTCGGTTCACCGCGAAAGCCTGCGAAAAAAACGGCGGCGGGGGACGGACAGCGGCTACACGGAGGTCTATCTTGGTACTGGTCGCATATCAGTCAAGCTCCGTATCAAATCATGAACAAAGATCTGTTTCCGGTGGCAAGTAAAGCGTGAAACATCAGCTTCTTCGCAAGGAGCACGGCAGGTCTGTGCCGGAACACCCGCCAACGTCCCGCCAACTACGACTTGCAGTCGAAACGTGTAACATTTACAGCATGCTGCTTTGCATTCGGCAAAAGCCAAAGGGGGCTTTTATCAAAGGGGGCCTTTTCGGGATTCAGGCTGCCCGACAACTACAATAGGGTTGGTGGAATCGGACATTTACCAGCACAAGGTCAAGCCGATCGAAGTAGCTGCTGAAGGGGGATGCTTTGCAAATACTCAATCATGCAACTGGCGTTGAAACACAAATGCTTGGACAAGGCTGCTCTTGGGCTGAACAATGGCAACACTGCAGGACGGCTCAGGGACTTGGGACAGAAGATTGCCAGTGCGTCCGACCGCCCGGCCAAGCGTGACAAGAGCATAGCGGCCACGGGTGGCCAGGAAGGAA